TGAGGAAGGTGCTGTTGGCAACAGGCAAAGGTTCAGTGAAGATGAAAGCGTATCAGTGTGTTTAGAAAAGAGGAAAATGTTTTCTGTGGTCATGTTTTCCAACTTGAAGTATATTTGCCTATCATTTTAATATAAACAGGGTGTATTTATATAGCCTAAAGCAATAGGAACCAGATTCCTTATTTTCAAGATGCCAAAAAATTTATCTTCAAGGATGATAAGCAATAACAGAGAAGAGTGAATCAAAAATATACAGCTTCTATCTGATTCCTGACCAAGATTTTAATTTTATTGCACAAATATGCCACCATAAAAGATATATGCTGTAGTTACTACCCACCCAACCCTGATGCAAGGAAGGGTCTGCCAGCACTCCCGCGATATCTCCAACAGGAATTCTGATGTTTTAATGCACATGAAATTGGCATTTAGGTTCTCAGCAAGATGTGTTTTTATTAACAATCTAAAAAAGCTTTAAAAAGAAGGGAGTGAAATAGCATCAGCTGGCTTTGATTGAAAGGCGACTAGCCTGCGAGTTCCACTGCACCCTGAGACCTAATGATACCCGCAAAGTGACCAAACACGTCTCGGTGATCCTGGAGCTCATCCAGACGCAGTGCCAAGAAAGAGATGCTGATATCCAGGCTACTAAAAAGGTGCGGCATCCAAATGCTTTGAACTGCAACTGAAACCACACGTGTAGTAAATAACCACTGAATTTTAATCTTCTTTTCGTTTTATGAAATGGAAAATATTACTTATGAGACATTATTAGGTTTCAGATCTAAAGTTCCCCCCCAGTCTCAGGTGTTTGGAGGGTGACTGGATCACACGGGGCCTGAGGATGGCTGAGGGTGCTGTCAGGAGGGGGGGGTGCCTGGAAAAAGCTGGTCCCTGCGGTGTGACCTGGAAGGGTGTGTTCTCGCTGATTCTTCTGTTTCCCCTCTGTTGTCATGGGTTGAGTGCCTTCCCATTGCCATGCTGCTCCACCATGCTGCTTCTGCCTTGAAGGCATGTCACCATGGACGGAACCCTCTGAAGTCATAAGCCTTGAGTTTTCAGGCCTTGGATGGATATTTTGTTCCAGTCCTAAGAAAGTGAACAGAACAGAGGGTGTGTTGCCTTATAGGAGAAGCAGAAGTGTGGTGCTGAATGCCTGGATCCGAGTTCCAGATGCATTTCATTCTTAGCTACATGAGCACGAGCAAGTCATTTCACCTGCCACTGCCTGCACTAACTGGCTGTAAAATGAGACTAGTAACAGTTCTTGTCTGACAGTTTCCAGTGCTAAATGAATCAGGGTGAGTAACTACGTAGGGCAAGCTGCACACTGCAACGTTGCAAAGTAAGAAGCAATCTGTTAGGTCTGCGCTCATTCTGAATGGGTAAATCTAATCTTGAACTGTATGGAAAGAAGTGAAGTAAAAAATAACCGTGTGTGTGTGTGTGTGTGTGTGTCTGTGAGAAGGAGGTGGGAGAAAGTGGTTTTTTCCTAAAACACTGGTCCTGTAAAAAGACCATTGGTATAAGCAAGAACATTTCATGAAGATAATAAGCATAATGCATATATTCCTTAGTTTTAACACTGCATCTGGAGAAACCTTCTATAATGCCAAAATGTATGACACTTTCCTGGATGGGACGAGGGCAAAGGGATGTCAACTCCATCAGGAACGCGCCCCTGTCAGGGACAGAGGAGGTGAGCTGTGTGGTGCAGATCTTAAAGTGGATGCTCACATCCTCACTGTGGCCTTCACTGCTACGTGGATGGAGAGGAGGCACAAACTCCAGTTCTACAGATATCACAGTGGGGAAAAATCAGACTCAGCACACAGTCAGGCCTCTGATTTACCCAGAATTATTTTTCAGGGAGGAAAAAAGAGTGTTTGCTGTAAGAAGCTTCTTGGCCACCCTCCAGCCTTCCTCCTGAACACTCTTCAGCCTGGGAATATCCCTGCCTTCAGGTGAGAGCTGGGGCCTGGGCAACCATGAATAGCCTCAGTTAGCAAAGTAGAGTGGCAGTTTGTGAGAGGTGATGGTGCACACGCGCGTCAAGCAGGGGTCTTAGTGTCTGTGCAGTGGAACACTGAGGTGCTTTCCGGTGCTGCTGATGCCATCACATATTCTCTATCTGGTGTGACTTCCTCAGGGTGGGCCTGAGGACATGGTAGCTTGTGATTGGGGGAGTCTCGCACGCCACGGCACTCTGTGCCTGGCTCTGGCTTTCTCTGTGCCCCCAAGGGGACAGAGGAAGTCAGAAGCAGAGGGGCTTTTTCTATGCTTGTATTTTACAAATAGTTTTATTACAACACTTTAATACTCTCTTAGGGAATTTTAGGTAATAGTCGGCTCTGTATGCAAATGTACCATGTATCCTGAGATATTTTAAACTGCATTATAAGCTAATTTCCTTATAGACACTTCAAATGTTTGCTCGAATAGTCTTCCCAGTGGGTGACTAACACAACTTTAACAGTGAAACTTGCTAATAGGGCAGACCTTATGTTCATTTAAAGTTCCAACACTGAACATAAAATTCATAGGATTCCAATTTAAGATCTTAAGTATAAATCACCTATCCAGCTATTTATTTCACATTAGATTTACTAGGAGATGACTTCTTTTACTATGCAATATATAAAACAGATTATTTCTTAATTAAAATATATTAACAGTATCTTTTTAGTCCTTTCATGACATTTTGTGTTAAATTTCAATCCTCACAGACTTGGCTGATGCTTGATATAGGAACACCATTACACTGCAGCGAGTTGAGTCAAGCGGGTGCAGATATGTGGGCGAATATGTTGAAGATATTTTACCCGTGACCCTCTGGTTACACTTGTTATATCTGTGGTTCTACAGCTCGTAAGAACATGTGGTCCCTCGGCTGCTTTCCTGGCTTCTAGCGAAGCACACGCCCACACTCTGTCCCGTAAGGTTCCAAAGTGCTTGTCCAGATCATCATTTGCTTCAATATGGCACTGTCATTCCTGGGTTAGAAAAATGAATTTCCCTACTTATATAAAATTATCTAATCGTCAAATTATTTAAAACTTTGAACTTAATGTATTCTTTCATTTCAAAATATTCTTGGAACTACACACTTGATGTGAATATTTAAATACTTGATTAAACCTTAATTCAGTGGCTTTTGCTATGCTGCTGCTGAGGACTTGGGGAGATACCGCATCCCTTTAGCCGCAGAGGTCTGCTGTGGACCTGTTTGCGGTTCTCTAATTTATGCATCGTTTGCTGATACAATGAATCAAAAATGAAACGATGGAGCAACAACAAGGTGTTTTGTCCTTTTTCCTGAGGAAGTTTTCCTGCTGTATAATGCAGCCCGTGCCTTTCCACACAGGGTGTGTTTTTCTCTGGACCCTAACTAACCGTGTCCTTTTGACGGCGCGGTGGCCGCTTCACCGGCGGGAAGGCAGGCCACGGAGGCAGCCGTGTCCTCTGAGCCCTGACCTTTCGCTTTCCTGCGCGGGGCTTTTGGGCGGTGTTGTCCCTGCGCTGGAGTCCACGTTAGTTGCTTATTGCAGGAAGCCCAGTTTCAGCAGGGCCTTTCGGGCACCAGAGCTGGCAGCTGGCCATGCAGGCGCGAAGAGAGACCGGACACAGCGTCACTGCTGGGCCTGCCCCTGCCCAGACGCAAGCACGTGGCCGGCCTGGGTCCTCCCTGAGTGCCCGCAGCGCAGCGTCTCTGCGCTTTTAATTGCGCGGCATCTCCGCATTCCCCGGTAAGTGGAGATCCCAGTTCTTGGGGGAGGTAACCCAAGTGCTCAGGACCTGAGAAGCTTCGGCAAACATTTCAGATGTGGGTGACGGTGCACACTGGGGGCTCCACGCCAGGCGCAGGGCCGGCAGCGCGGTCCTCTCGGAGGGAGGGAAGTGACCGGGGTGCAGCACGAGGGCGGGGCGCCTGCCCAGGCCGGGGTCCCTCAGGGCACATTGTACCCGATGTGCAATGTGCGGAAAAGCAGCAGCCTTGCAGGGATTTCTGTAGTTTCTGAAGCCCCTGCCTGCAGCCTTGCCCTGCGCCCCGTGTCCAGGGCGCACCCCTGTGGTCACCCTGCCGTTCACTGGGCTTGGCCAGTGGCCCGCTCGGTGTCCCTTAGGTTCCACTCTGCGGCTTGGACTCCACACTTCTGCCCTTGACCGCTGGCACTGCGACCCTTGGAATCGGCCTTCTCCGAGCCCCGGTCCCCCAGAGCCGGGCCAAAGCCCAGCTCCCAGCCCACCTGGAGAAGTCAGGGAAACGAGCAGCTTAGGATCCAAAATTTGGTACATGAGATTTATTTCCCTACCATCTGGTTCATCTACAATGAGATAATGTATATTTATAAGTGCAAGATTTATATATTTCAGTTCTGGCTAGCGCACAAAAGAAAATCTGCTTCCTAGTATTTAATTTCTAGTGATATTAGAACTGTCATAGGCTCTGCCTTCACATAAATAGCAACTTTGCTGAAACTTATGCTGATATTAAAGCTTTTAAATTTATCTTTCTCCTTTTTCAACACCACAAGCTCTTTCCTTTTTTACACAATAGAATATCCTCTGACTGATACAATATTCAAGCTAGGTATTGCTATAATCAAGTTTGCAGACTGATATTCCTAATGGCTTCAAAGAGTTATATTAGTAAATATCTAAGTAGAAATATAGGCTCTTAAATTTTTATCGAGTACCCTCTTACACAAAGTATCTGCTTCTTATCACAAAAGATATAAAAATCTTTATTTTAACTTATGATACAATATATAATATGTGAACATGTGTAAATATGTGAATGTGTATTTTATATACATACACATATATGTAATATATACATACAATTCTAACTTTAATTAAACATGACCCTAGGAAAAAACTCAAACTTTTCTGTGAATTCATTGGTTTTTAAGTCTCTAAAAATCTAATTTTAAAAAAGAAAGCCTGAAGTCTATCAATATAGAAAATTAGTAAATAAAGGTAAGTGTCGCTAAAAGTTTATATCGGTCATCTAATTAGTGGCTCCTGCTAGAAATGATTCATAACAACAATGTTTTCCTAATGTGTATCTGTCTGTAGTTTCCCTAATTGTGTATCTGTCTATAATTTGTGAAATATATTATAAAACTTCACATATTTAGACTTTAAAGAAATTAAATTCCTTCACATAATCAAAATATGCCATTTACAGTATTCCTATGTCTGCTTTTCTGATAATAATTGCACTAATTGTTACTAAGAAAAAATACAGAACGATGTTACTTAAATTTAGGAAAACAATTACTTTTTTCAGTTTTGGTGTATGATATTTTAATCAATTTGTAATATTTAAAAGGTACAAATAACTCATTAACCAAGAAGGGAGGTAGGATTGAATGAATGAACTTTCTAGAATCACAGATTTTTAAATGATAAAAATGCAAAGCTGTCATTTTTTGTCTTTCTGTCTCAGTTTTGTATGTATTCCGTAGCCTGGGATGCTGATTGCATCCCGAAGTTATCTTTATAACTTTAAATCTATTATGGTAAGATAAAGGGCTATTTATTTAAATTTCGGCTTCAGTATATATTTAGAGTGTGCTCTTTTGGTGGCTTAAAAGCACCTTTATCCCTGCTAGCAAGCAATAATCAAATATAAACTCCATAGTGCTGCTGATTGAAATCTCAGGATTCGTATTTTCTAACAGCTTGGGGTAGTTATTCTTAAGATACTCCTTTTGATTTAATAAATTTACAGTGTTGGTATCAATCAGAAATCCAAGATCTTCTTGGGGAGAGTTTTGTGCAGTTACGATGTCTTTGGATTTCAGAATCTACTCGAGGGTTCTGGAACAAGTGCTTCCTAATGCCAGAAATCCTTCCGTTTCTGTCCTTTTATATGTTAGGCTTATTCTGAGAAGCTAACTCTCATTCTGCTTATTCTAATTATTCAAAATTTAAGGTTCATCTTGGGAAAGATTAATTTCAGTTACGGTAGACGTGCTTCCTAGTGGGAAAGGTGGCATTGTCGTCTAGGCCCGTTGTGTGTCAGGTAAGTCATAAACCTGGTGACAACACTTGGGGGACAGAATTCTCTGAGAAGAAGGATCTGCTTTTATGAAGGCTCTTTATGGTTATCTAAAAGGGCTCTGGGATTTCCTTTCCTTCCTCCCTTTCCTTCCTCCCCTGCTTTGTTCCTTTCTGTCCCCTCCTTGTTTATAGCTTCTTTCCTCCTTTTCTCCCTCCCTTCCTTCTCACCCCCACCAAGTCCTTAGTGCATGTGTATAAGCTCTGCTGATCTCTGAACATGGCAATTAACATTTTTGTCTTTATAAACTTCAGCTTCCAACAGACACAGGCTACTCCAGGGTTGAGTATTCCAGCTTTTTTTCTTGGATCCTTGATAAAATCAGCAGCTATGAGAGGTAATTTTGGCTACTCTAGTGTTTCAGTTACAAACATTAGAAACCTGGGGGTGCAAAGCTCCCGTACGATTTAAGGAGACACTGTGAGTCAAAGATATGATTTGAAAATATTATGTCCATCCTCCAGTCTTCGAATTGAGCAGAGTCCATGAAGATGGCTATCGAGGTGCAGGAGTAAAACAGGACCCCCAATATTTCATGGAAATAAAAATAAAACAAACGTAGATTTGGGTGGTGTAGAGCCTAGAGGCTACATGGACAAATAGACAAGCCCAATTTACTTTCCTGCCTACAATGCTGATGTGTTTCTCAACCAAAATGAGTTTATCAATGAACTCAACCCTCAGTGAAGAGGACAGAAAGCAAATTACACCTTTATATTTTTCCAAGGCTTAAAGGATATAAAGGGCAGGGAAAGAAAGGCAGCAATGAATCTTGCTTCTGTAGTTTATACAAAACACAGATGTCTCTGTTATCGAGGGAAAGGCCTGAAAAGCACCCTCTCTCTCCCTGACTTATCCACAAAGAATACAATTAAAAATATGAACAAAAGTAATCTTTGTGGAACATCATCGGGTTGAAATTCACCATGATATCCTTGACTGCCAATTCCCAGAGAATTTGGGAGAAATTACATTGAGTCTAGGGGTCTGTGGTTCAAGGTTAACAGAATATACCCAGGAGAAGCAAAAGCGTGACTTCAGCAGGCAGCAGAAAGGTGCGGGGAGTTCGTGAAGGGGATCTGATGGCTCCAGTGGAAACCGGTTTCCTCCAGCAGTTGGCCCCCAAGCCACGATCAAGTACTGTGGTTCTGGGGTGCCGGGAAGAAGGGAGGTAGTGAGTTTGGGGTGCCTTTCAGGGTTAACCATGTGGCTTTCAGAAAGTCCATTTCAGGGCCCCGGACTGAGCATCGCTCATGCCAGGAGCATTGCTCTTTCTGGCCTCAGAATCTGCTCAAATGTGGCCGGTGGCAGAGACCCACTTCAAGGACAGTGAGGGCATGAAGAACGGCAGGAGCCAGCAGCCGACCACCTCAGCAAGAGGATGGCCCCACTTCCTGTTCAGGGGACGTGGCTCTGGCATGTGCCATGCCGCAGGGCAGCAGAGGCTGCCTAGGGGTTCTCTACTTCAGCATCCAAGAGGCAGAGCGCCCACCTGTGAGAGGCCAGGAGCCGGGTCTCCGAGGGCCGGCTCAGCAGACGGGGGACGTCGGTGAGGAACTCAAGGACTCTGGTCAAGCAGAAGCCCAGGAAACGGCAGCACGTCCGCCAGGAGAAGTCGGGTCAAGACTGCACGGTGATGACCTTCCGTTAGCCGCGCGAGTGGTGAGTCTGTAACCCTGTGGTGCGTGTACTCACCTTTCGGTAATCTGATGTTTTGATTAATGAATTATATTACTGTAAATGCTGACCATAATTTACAAATACTTTAGAAAAGGATTTTTGGATGCAGAATGGTCTTCCATCAGATAGACTTACAACACAGTCCATTTGACTAATCTTGTAGAAGTAGGTCTTTGAAGTTCTTTTTTCCTTCTTTCCTTTCTTCCTTCCTTCTTTTCTTTCTTTTTTGTATTCTAAATAGTGGCTCCATGAGGATGCATTGATAGATATAGATTTATATAAACACATAGACATGTATTTATAGATACACTCTTGCGTAAATCCTTAATAATTTACCAGTTGGACTTTTTTCCTCTAACATTTCCACAACTCACAAATCATGACCTCAAAGTATATTATTTTTATTTTTATATTTAAATCACACTCTTTAGTGAATGATATATTTTCAAGGAGCAGACAAATTTAATAAAGAGACAAGAAAAAAATCTCAAGATTTTCCTACTCCGTGCATGATGGCTTTGTTCCCTTCATCTCATGCATATGGCACCAAAACCCATGTCACATCAGTACTGACACTGATAATTAAGCCAATTTTAACAAACATGAGGCAATTTTTTTTCTACAGACCTCACTCTCATTTTCACTTATGAAAGGATGCCATTCCCTCCAGATAGGTGAGTATCAAATTAAAATCACAAATATTCAAACATACCATGAAAGAGAACTTGGAGTCATCTTTTCACTGCTGTAACTGTGTCCAGATATTTCAAGGCATTTATATTTCTATTCATCTCGACAGACACCAACTTATTTACTGCATGAATCAATAGTCATACCCCAATATGAATGTAATTTTTTTCAAAAAAAGTCATGCATTTCTAAAGCATTTTGGAAGTAAGTTAAATATTAAAATTCATGCCCAGATTTTTTTCATAAAGCTGTCAACGTCCCCTTACCTTAAAAGTAAACTATGTGACTTGAAAAAAATAATAAAAGCTAGACAAAGAAACACTCAGCCAAGAGCTCTGAGTTGGAAGAGCACCCCCAGCTCCTCTGCCGGGTGCACGTTGCCGAGCTGGGAAGGGCAGCGTAGCCATGGCAGGAGGGGTCCCGAGCACAGGCTGTGGGGGAGCTGTGGCCGGCGCTCCCACAGCCCTGCTGTACAGTGTCACGGCCACTGTCTGTACATAAAGAAACCAAGGCAGAGAAACCTTCCAGACACTGCCAGATACCGTGCGGCAAGTAAGTCACCCGGGCTAGGGGACGGCCAAGTGTGTGTGTGTGTGTGTGTGTGTGTGTGCGCGCGCGCGCGCGTGTGTGTGTGTGTGTGTGTGTGTGTGTGTGTGTGCGTACCTGCACCCGCAGTGCTGGAGGGGACCTTCTGGGAAACTGAGGCTCAGGATCTGCTTAGTGAGAGGTGCTGTCTCCAGGATCTGCCTGGAGACAGGTGTGACGTTCATACACACATGGTCTCAAGACGTGACAAGGCGAGCTCACTTGGATGCTACTGGACACGTGTCCGCCTAACATGTCCTCGCCTTGTTTCAGCAGCAGAAGCCTAATGTAACACCAGAAGGTTTCTAGGCACCAAGGATGGTCGCTGATCTTCCCCTTCCTCTGCCTGTCCTCGCGTCCTGAACCAGGCCAGGGCTCCTTGAGGCGGGACATGAGGATGGAGGTGTAGTCTGCGAAATAAAATCAGGATTTTTGTGACTGACTTTCTGTTACCTTTTCCCTACAGCTTAGGTTAAAAGTCTTCCTTGGCCTTGATTTACATTGTGGACAGTAACATCCCCATTTGTTACTTAAGCACACCCTTACTGGGCTTTGATGGGGCAGGGAGAGTCCTGACAGTTTATAAGGCGTGGAGGCTGACACCACATTTTTACAGTTGTGAACAGAGCCACAAGAAGCATGGCATATACATGTGTCTTTTGTGTGCTGACTTTTTTCCTTTGTTTATATACTTGGGAACAGAACGGTTGTATCACGTGGTGGTTTTAGTTTTTAAGGAATCCCCACCCATTCTCCATAGCAGCCACACTAATTTATACTCCCATTGCAAGTGTGTGAGAGTCCCTTTGTCCCTAGCCCTCTACAGTATCTGCTGTTTTTGGATTGTTTGCTTTTTATGATAACCGTTCTAACTGGGGTGAGATGGAGTCTCACTGTAGTTTTGATTTATTACTGATATTGAACATTTATTCATCAATTAACTGTTCGCCTGTATTTCTTCTTTTGAGATCCTTTGCCCACTTTTAATCCAATTACTTGTTTCTGTTGTTAGATTCGAGATAACTGGGTGAGGAAAATGCAGTGTGTATGCACAATGGAGGATTGTCCTGCCACAGTGAAGAATGAAATGTTGTCACCCAAGCAAAATAATGAATATGATGTCATGTGAAGTAAGCAAGCCGGAAGACAGGACAGGCCCTTTCCTCCGGGCAGTCCTCTCCATACAAATCTGTAAGGTTTCAAAACACACAACTCCCATGTCTCCTTCTAAACATCGCTTAGAACAAGCAAGCTTACGGTCAGCGCTTGCCTGCTAAGTGAAAGATAATATATATCTGGTACTGTGCCTGGGCAGGGGAATAAACACAGTGGAGGTGTTGTGCCTGGTCGTAGAGGCCCACAAAAAGGCAGAAAAGAACAGGGGTATTGCTAGTGCTTTAAATATATCGATTACTGTGCTTTTGTTTTCTATTTAGTCTGGTAGGTGCTTTTTTTCTATTTGATGGGAAGAATTCATTTCTTTGGTCCACTTTAGGCTCTTGTAACTCCCCTCGCCCCACAAAAGAAGAAGAAGAAGAAGAAGAAGAAGAAGAAGAAGAAGAAGAAGAAGAAGAAGAAGAAGAAGAAAAGAAAAAGAAAGGCAGGAAGTTGAGCTTTTGGTCTCCCATGTCAGGAAGCCAAAGCTGTTGTCTGCGTGAGTCAGGCTTTTTCAGAGCAGCAGACGTTGGGCATCAAAAGGCAAAGACATGGAGGAATAGAACATGAATCCCATCCACTAATGATGCCCCGAACACCGAGCAGGGTGATGGGGACTTGGGAGTGAGGAGGGACCTGCACAGACCTTGCTGATGCTGAGGACAGCCTGGGAGCAGAGCCAGCATGACTCACCTCCGTCCTTCACTCCCCCTGGGACGCCAGCCGCTCCTGCGCAAGCTGGGGCCTCTGCTCGCTGGCTGTGCTGCCTTCCCCGGGGCCTGCAAGGTGATCGGATCGCCATTGTCCTCCACATCATGCCCGTGTCCTAAGCTTCCTTCTGTTCCCTTGTCATGATGGTCACCTCTGCCGAGGCCCGGGGCAGTGCTGGGCCCCAACACAGAGAGCCCAGAAGTGCCACGTCCCACCGCAGGCTGGGATTGTGCTGTGCCACCGCCTGACGAGCACTGTCCTGACTCCCTCTGCAGGCATGGCCCCCAGGTTCAGGGCTGGGCTACCGTGGCCCACGTGGGGGCTGTTTCCTGGCCCCCCACTTCTCTCCATGTGTGAGTTGGGCACAACCTCTCTGCTCTCCTCCAATCCCCAGGCGCGTGCAGACTTCCTGGCTCCATTTCCCTCAAGAAGCCCATGCTTCCCTTAGAAGTCCACACTCAGGAAAGCCTTCTGCAGCAGCCAGCCAGCCTCATCCTCCTCCCACGGGACCCTGCCCAGGGGGTTCAGGATCCTGATTAGTAAACTGCACGCTGATGAGCTAGGGGTGGAGCTATGAGCTACTCATTGGAAAGAAATGTGGAATTAGAGTGAGTTTATAAAATAGCAGATATTACTGTACTACTCGAACTACATACCAAATGACTCAGCTGACTCTCACGCAAGCCAAACAGGTTTGCTGGCCTCCTAACGTTCCCAGACAGGTCTGTCTCAAGAAAACACATTAGATTGGAAAACGGAACTTACAAAGCACCTGCAACAAATAACATTATCTTCCCCACAATAGTCAGTGTGACGGGTCTGACATCAGCTGGCAGGCACAAATAGGCTTAATTATTAACAGTAATAAATCAAGGAAGTATTTAAACATGTGATCTAATACGACTTTTCTGTGATCTTGCTGTCATCAGAGAAGACAAATCTCTGAGCACAGTGCGGTGACTGCATGCCAAGGAAGCTCGCCTTTGATGGTGAGCTGTGACTTCCGCAAGCGAGCATCACCGCTCATTCATGTGCTAAGGGGTTTCCTCACACACTTCGCACTGAACTATTCATTTAAAGGGCACAAAAACTGCTCAGGGAGCTCAGAGAAAACTCAGGACCTCCTTCGCGCTCAAGAAGCACTCTGAACACATATGCCTGCATGTGTGTACCCTCTCCACCCTAGAACACAGACTAAATTCTCTAAATCTGGAGGTCACCAGCTCATGGTCTTCCAAGCACATTCAAACTGAAGACTTGAAGGTATATTTTCTTTGGCCAATAGCATTTAAACATAGGGAGGAATCTAGATTTTTTATTTCATTTTGGAAAATCAGGCAGGAGTGGGCATTCCCATATAGCAACGGTTGGCTTTGTCTGCTACATAGTTCACCCTGACCCTCTTCCCTTCTCCTCTATTCCAGCAGCCTGAGTCACACGAAGCCCCCACCCGGCCCCCGGGCCTGATAGGAGTTTGTGTCTTTCCCTTTGCCCTGCACATCCCAAGCAGGTATGAACAGCAGAGCACAGTGGACTGAAGGGTCAGGAAGGGTCAGAAAGGCAAAATACTCAAAGACTGTTTCATGTGTATGGAATTTAGCCTGGAAACTTGGAGCTGAATTTAAGTGAACTTGGAACCAAAGGGGAAAAGGAACATTCTTAGTAAGGGAAAATAAGCTGAGTGAAGACATCAAAGGATGAGTGACCGTGGTACCTAGACCTCAGAGGTGGAGGTGGCCCCATACGACCAGCATTGCACGTGGAGGACCTAAAGGGCAACCCAGGAGGTCAGAAGTGGGGTGCATCAGAAGGAAGGAGCACAGCGAAGGTGGTCATTTGCAAGTCATGGCAGGGAGGAGGCTGAGCAGCTCTGGGAAAGCCTGGACTTGGGCACTGGGTGGGCAATGGGCACTGGGATAGTGGCCAGGGGAGGAGTGAGGAGAAAGTCCTGGCTGGAGGTCACAGCACTGGGAAGGGGGAGGACTGCAGAAGAGACTCTGGTCTTCTGGGGCAGCTTGTTCCCAGGTTTGTGGCCAGCATGACCTTAGAATATCATTCTTATTTCACAAATTAATCAGTGGTCAGTCCACTTGAGAATAAATACATTTTAAAATGTCCTTTGCACTCTGCTCAACTTCAATTAAAGTTATTTCTGAACCAATTTCCTCTTCCAAAGACTTCTTCCTCTTGAATTTTATCACATCCCCTCCTCTAGTATCAACAATTCTCTGTCCTGGGTTTGGGCCGCCTCATAACACGTTTGTTTCATAATAGGTGATGATTTTTAAAATGTATTTTTTTTAAGGACAGTGGATATTGATCAGGATTTTGAAATGAAATCTGACATTTTGAATTGAGAAACTGTTCACTGGTCAAGCAGTCTGACAGATGGAGGACCTTTGGGATTAATCTAATGTCTGTGTTTTCTAACCTGTTGGAGAGGAAACGGAAGTCCAGTCCACGGAAGTGATGAAAAGAACCAATCAAAACGACCACTGGTGAGCAGGGCAAGTGCTTCCTCCCCCAACTCCAGAAATTCGGGAGAATTGGCTCCTGTGTTTGCGTGCTCATCCATGGATTACTTCGCCATGGAATACTCATGATTTCCGGGAGTTCATACCTCTCTGCCTTGTAGTTACAAGATAGTAAAATCCATCTTTGGAGTAATTGTGCAGAGCATTGTGGGAAACAGCAAAAGGGCAACCTGCTGCCAACATCACTGAGCTTTCCTGAAGCCAGACAGTAAGTTGCCATTTTAGGTTTTGTATGTGAGGACTTAATTGCGGGTATGGTCAATTTTATTTTTCTTTCCTGAGATTACTGGAGGCCTGAAGCACAAGGTTTAGTTGACCTCTATCTCCGTGCCCATCACAGGTTTAGCACTGGCCCTGATGCAAGGACTGGCTCAAGGACGGGCTCCCTGAGAGCCTGGCTAGGACGCAGCTAGCCCGGGGGTGCATTTTAGCCTCACTGAGATTTATAGATATTTTTACCCACATATTAATTAAACTGCCTTCTACCTGAATTGAAATATTGCAGTATCAACACATTATCTAATAAAACAATTTATACACAAAGAAGATTTTATTCTCTCATTCAGAAGTTCCGCCTCTAAATTTTAATGACGTGATTGGATGGCGGCCAGTGTGGCTCTCAGTCCCCAGCTCCCATAAATCCAGGTCCTCTAAGGGTGGTTTCCCTCGATGTTAATGTGCTGAGCCAAGGAACCAGAGCTAAAACAAAAGAGCTTCTGAAAACAAACAAGCAAACAAACAAACAAGCAAATTTACATGTAACTTATGACATTGTATTCATTGGTCTAGATTAATATGTATATACAGTAAATCAACTAACTGAATTAAAGTTATGGTAAGTTCTATTTTGAGTCTTCAAGAATAAACCTCAAATTTAACATCGGTAGTGTTTCTCAAGAAAATATGCAAAGTGAGAATAACATACATCATTAGATTTTTTAAATATCTGCACATTATAATGACATGAAATATTTTCCTATCAACAATAACTTGCACAAAAAGCACAAACCAATTGTATTCACTGATGTGTTTGAATGTTTTTCTGAAATTTCCCTCAAAGTGAGTTGTCTGTCGTATTTTCAAAAGTGGTGCTCCCTTTAAGAAGTGGAGGAGTACTTTACACACAAATGTTTTGATCAAAATGATACAGGAATGCATAACCCTGCCTAGGAGCTAGTAAGCACTTGGAGGTTCAGTCAGACACTTTCACAGCAACAGTTTCTCTGCGGTGAAAACGGCCGTAGGTAGCATTGCTACCTTGCACAATTTTGAAAAATGCAGGCGGTGAAATCTTCTAGAGGTAGTGTGCTAATATTACCTTACAAAGTATATCTCTAGTTATCTTATTAGTTCCAAAAATGCAGTTATTTCAGCATTTAAGAAAATTGAAATTTTCATCCTTGATGAGTCTAAATCCACTCAAACTGAAGTTGCATCCACGTTGTAGCAGGTATCAGGTCCTTTTACGGCCCAGTAGTACATGGACATGGCACATGCTGGGTTCTCACCCACCAGTTGATGGGTATTTTGTTTGTTTATCTTTTGACAGCTATGAATAATGTAGCAGCAAGCTATGATATGCCAGTCTTGGATTCTTGTTACCATTGCTCTTGGGAGTATCATATACCTGGGAGGAGAATTGCTTAGCATTTGAGGAACCACCAGGCTATCTTCTGCCACGGCTTCAGGGTTAATATCCCTCCCGTGTGCTACACTGTGAATGAATCTTGGAAGCCTGTGAAAGAAATAATGCTTCATGTTGAGCAAAAGAAGACATTTTCAAAAAATTACATATACAATTCCACTTAAGTGCCAAGGAAAAGCAAATTATAAAGCTAAAAACTAGGTTAATTTCCTAATTCCCTGGGGTTTGGGGAAAAAATCAGGAATGGCTATGAGTTTCCTTCATTGAAATGATGAAAATATGGAAATCGATGCCAGTGATGGTTACATAATTCTATGGATATTTTCTAAGCACTGAACTATACGTTTGATGGGTAATTGTATGGTATGTGAATTATATCTCAATAAAGCTGTTCCATTAAATGAGTGAAGTCACATTAATACTTCTAAGGTAACAAAAGTGTACTTTTTCAGGAAGCAAAATCAGTTTTTCAAAGTATTGATAACCTCGAGCGTCTGCTCTCCTGCTGGTGGTTTCTTTCCCCCAGACTAGCCTTGGATCCCTTTATTTCAGAAAGCCGACCTCTGATCGAAGGACATACAGCGACATTTGACCCTCGTTCATCCTTTGCTCTGATGTTCCGAACAGCACCATGGGTCTCACGATGCGTTTGCAGTTGGCTCATCTTGCCGGTGAGGCTGGGGAGGGCAGGAGCTCATTCTGTTTTGGTGACTGGACCCTCAGTCCCCGAAGTGCCCGGAGCACAGGAAGTACTATGTCAAGTTAAATAAATCTGATAAATTACTGAACCTTTAAAAAAATGCTTTCAGATCTAGAACACTGTTTCCTGCCAATTGCTTTCCAGCACACAGGGAAGGAGTGATATATACGTGGAAATAAAAAACAGAAGTGTTTTGCAAAACCAATTCATCACAGCATCCCCTCGAGATTTATCCCTCTGTGCCAAGTCCGCATGACACCCGTGGAGGATGATGAAGTGACAGAAGTCACTGCAGCCCGTAAAAAGGTGAAACCAACTAAGTCAGTACGTCGGAGGATCCTCCTCATGGCACTAAATCACTCTGATCGGCTCAAACAATGTTTACTTCTGCAGGTGACTTGCTGCTGGGAATTTATCCTGCATTCCCTTTATTTATGGTGAAACAAAAGTGACATTACACTTTGTCATGAAAGGATGCGTTAAGTGATGCTTTTAAAAGTACAACACTGTTCCTGAAACGGCTCGCTCCTGATTTACGTTGATAGGAGCGGCCGCACAGGGTGGGTAGATGGGGCAGGAGGAGTTGGGTCAGCTGCGATGGGACGGTGGCAGGGTCTTCACACCTCCATGCTCCAGCCTCTTTTCTTACCAAGTGCCAGGGTGTTTCCGTGTTTGGAGACACGAGAGCTTGGGCAGCTGGGTGAACCGGGTGATGCAGCCTTCTGCAGCTTCCTGAGCCAGCCCGGGGCCCACTCTTCTGGGGGAGCTCTTGAGGGGCTCTACTCAGTGCCACACCCTTCTTCAATGCTTAAAGTCACAGAATTTCAGGTGACAGTATCTGTCATCATAAGCCAAGAGCTAAAAGGGGGAAAACACAGTCAACCAGGTCTTTTATGTAATTTCAAGGAGCTACTGGATTCACACTAAGTCACGTCACACATGCGCACAGCTGGCGTGTTTTGTAACACGTGGATTCTGAGGACGGAGAGTGATTGTCTTGGAATGCAGAGGAGGAGGAGGAGACAGTACAGGATAGTTTATGATCTCTCAGGTCACACCTTGTACAAATCCAGACACTAGACTGAAAGTTCCAGCTTTGGGACTGCATGCTTTGGGTGACCTGGGCCCCACTGTCCGGATGTAACTCTCAGAGCTTGTCTGTGTCAGGGCTTCGGTAGGTGCAACGATTTTTTTCCACACAGTGGTGTTGATTTGCAAGTGAGAAGCCTGTGATGATCAGTGCTTTGATGAACACGACATACATCTGACAAACGTACCTTCCTTCTTTCCATGGTGGGGTGGGGAGAGAGAGTGCGCAGGGATTGAACCGTGAGCTGCATCCCCAGGCTGTCTCCGCTTTTTTTTTTTTTAAATTTTTTGAAACAAAATTCAGCTCACTGGCTGAGGTTCGGAAAGCAGCCTGGAACTTGAGTTCCCCCTGCCTCAGCCTCTCAGGTCATCGATGGGGGAGTAGGGGTGTGGCCCCACCCCCAGCTCGCTTTTCCTTTATTAGCTGTGTTGGTTTGGGAAGTTTATAACGACTCAGAAAATACTTTTTCTTACTTGTAACATAAAGAAACTAAGCCAGGAAGATGACGACCCCACCCCTGTTCTTCAAAGAAACGGGAGAAGATGGGAGGAAAGAGAGGCCGCGGATAAGGGTCTGCTTTTCCCATCTGCACAAGGCAGGGCCTCTGATTGGTTTCACATACTGAATTTTTGTTTAATAAAATAATTTCAAGATTAATACAGGCTTGAAAATCTCTGGGCTAGTTGATCATTCATGTCTAGCTTTTACCCTATTATTATGATGTTCTTTTAAAGTATATTTCTGGTCTGTAGATTACAGAAACAGAAATGTAAAGAGGAAAACACACCCTGAGTAGTGAGATTACACAGTGTTTTTAATTTTTTTCATATGTTTTCTTCAGTAAATAAAATGCCCAAAATTTAATATTTTAAAAAATAATTAAAATTGGTAAATACGATATTATAGTTAAAACCTATGTATTTTAAAGAAATTTTAATTGAAATATAAAGAATATGTACAATATGGAGAGAAATGAGAGTCACACAGAGAAAAGTATATGCAATCATGGTTTGGGTTTTCAATATTTGTATTTTTAAATCATTTTACTTAGAATATAAATTATGATATTTTATGCTAGCAAAATCAATCCAAATTTATATTTCTTTTAAATGCTTTCTACTTATAGAGTTTATTTTAGTACATACATTTTATAGTTTTTGGACATATATTTACACACTAAGATTTTTAAGACCAAGTTATTTTTTAATGGCTGGTCTTTAGAAACCTGAATGAAAGAAACATTTTATTGGTATTACGTAGGTTATGAGAAACCTTATATATAGTTTAAAAATTTTTCTATAATTCCTTCCTCTGTTCCACTCCAATTCTTCAGAAAATAATGTTCAAGGCACTCGTTATCATAAACTCAAGTGGAACGTAGTATTTTAAAATTGTCTCTAATAAAGCCATTTTCTCAGATCATTCTGGCTTTTAAAGTAATCACTATTCAAACTCCGATGAGCAGTGGAGCCAAAAAGCATTGTTTTAGTTTTTGCTGCTTTGAAAACCAGTTTGTTTTCCTGGAACCAGTCTGCCAAAGTCTTTTTGCAGTTCAGTAGTTAAGTGCGAAACAGATTTGCCATTAAAATGCACAGTCGAGCCATCTGCATAAAGATGTATAGAGCAGTAATGACATATCCATGTTAAATCATTAATAAAAAGAGAAAAGAGGAGCGGGCCGTGACTGACACTGTTGCTTAATAACTGGAGGGAGAGGGAGTGGAGAGACAGCCCTGCGAACGGGAACAGATTGACGTCTGTCGGAGCCGCTTCTCATCCGTGACAGCGCTTGGCTGGAGCCCACGCGCCCCACCTTCTGCAGGCAGAGCCCACGGTTCAGCAGGCCAAAGCAGTCTGAGCAGTTAATAAAGAGCCTCGCCTGACTCCGAGGCCCCTTCAGGAATGTCTTCCTGGTCCGAGCTCGTCGTGGGGCGGCAGATGCAGCCTGGCATGCTGCTTGCGGGCTCCTTGCGGGTGGAATCCTGTGCTTTCCCCTCGACACTGGTGATGGGGTGACCCACGCGGACAGATGGGCTTTCTTTATGTGACAGTGGTGAGGTAGTGTCTGTTAAATAATTAGTACCTACAACTTCAAGTTTAGGCAATGTCTCCGGGAAGCTAAGAAAGAACCAATAAATGGATCCTACCCTGGGTAAAGTTACACTTTCCCAGCTTCTCTTTGCTGCTGCCAAAGTCAGTGAGCACTAAGTATTTCTGTATAATGCTTGGGGTTCCGGAAGGAGTTGTAGAGAGGGTTCCCGTGGGCCCTGGAAACCAAAAGGCTTAAAGGAGCTTTTAGCCCAAAGAAATATTACATAATTCACTCAGAAAACATATATAAAGGAGTGATAAGTGATTTGGGCTGTGGCACAATGGGGCTTTAAGACTGTAGGAGCCCCGGGTTGATGGAAGTAAATATATTCAAATAGTCTTGATCTGGGAAGATTAAAAAAGAGACAAATTTGGGGGAGATGCTGATGCCTTATTTTGATAGTTTAAACGATCAAACTTCTCATTATTAGCTACTGGTTTTTATTGTGCATTTTAATATTCGGTGAGACCTGAACCTAGGTAAAGTATATTTTCCCTCTTCTTAAAAAGAATGCCTCTGCGTATGATGGAGAAGATCATGGGGTTGTGGCTGAAGAAAAGGGGACCAGGAAGGGGGATGGAGAGAAGCGGAAGGGGTCATAAAAGATTTAAGGTGTGTCACTAAAACGTGTACCAATATCGGAGACCCGTTCCAGGGTGCCAGTTACTGGGGACTCCAGCAGTGAGTCCCTAGTCTCCTTCTTGGAGTTCGGGGGCGTGGCAGGAGGGAAGAGCAAGAGCCACACTGGAGGTGCAGCAGGTGTCCTTGGTGACAGTTGTCCTGGGGAGCATAAGGCCAAGTGGCACCCAGAACCGTAGTACTGATGGATCACATCCGGTCAAGGACAGTGGGCGGAGGGCGCTGAGTGTCTCCGGAGCAGCAGTGGTGGCTGCATGGATGGGGAAGAAGAGCAAAGCTTCGTGCAAGGACAGGACAAGTCGGGGCAGCGAGGAGACCGGAGTGTCCCCAGACCTTGTGGTCTTCAGCAGCCCCAGCTTGGCCGGTGAGCAGGCAGCAGTCTTTAGCCTTAGGGCTTCCAGCTGTGACCGGAAAAGAGCAGGGAGTTTCCTTGTTTCAATCTGACTCCAGGGCAAGATAGGGATGAGCATGGACGCCCCCAGACTCAGTTTATAATTTGTAGTCCCTGAAATATTAATAAAAATTTTTAAAAAATAAACATTTTAATCTAAAAAAGAAAAAAAAAAAACCTTGGAAAGTAATGTCAAGTGCCATTAAAGTCCACCTCTGCTGCCGCGTGGTTCTCCCCAGTAAGCTCAGGTCCGCTCAGCACATCGCTCTGGAGTTCTGTGACTCTGGGACTGGCGCACAGCTGTGAGGATAAACCAGGACTGAGGGCTGCCTGGACACTGAGACCTCGGACGAGCTTCACCCACACTGGGCAGCGGCGGCAGCAGCGCGAAGCACAGCTCTCCTGCGAGCGGGCAGCCTGCTCTGCCGGCGGGAGCCCAGTCCCCAGCCAGAACCGCTTGGCGGGGAGCATCGAGGAGCGCACCAAGCCTCCTCCCTACCTGTATGGGGCTGGCGTTTAGCGGGATGTTAATAAGGGAAACCCAGATGCCTAATGTGGATTCCAGTCCCCAGAGGGGTGCAAGGGGTGATGAGGGGGTGTGGCTTCCCCCTGGGGAGACCTGAGCTCTGAGCTCTGAGCTCTGCGCAGGGATTAGCTGGGCGTTGGGGAGGGCCAACAGTGTGAAAGGCAAGGAAACAGTGCCAGGGCCTGGGCGCGCTGGACAGACTGGGCGAAGGCCAGTGTCGCGCGCCCTGGGAGAGGAGCAGCAGAGGGCAAAGCTCAGGAAGGGCCCTGTTGCCCGTGGGCTGGCAGCTGAGGTCCTGCACGCGGTTGGGTTAAGCTAGAGAGAGTTCAGAGGGACTCAGAGAACAGTTTTCCACTCCTGCTGATGAACACGAGGGATCCTGCTCCTTGTCTCAGGCCTGGCGTTGGACTCCTGCAGTCTGAAGCCCCGGCCTACAGGGCGCTGCCTAATCGCTGGCAGGGAGTGGGCTGAGGTGTTCGGAGTGCCCGAAGGTGCTGTGATTCTGAGGCTCGGTGATACTCGCCCAGAGTTGCCTTTTCCAAGAGAATGCCCACGTCCACATCCACAAAATGAACTGGCCAGGGTAGCTGGCAGCCAGAGCGTCTCCTCTCCTTTATTAATATTTTTTTGTGTGTGGAGCACAGACCTAAAACACATTCCCTGAACTATCAGTAGGGTGTGTGTCTGCATGGGCTGGGTCCCGCCTTGGCAAGGGCCATAGCAGCCTGGGGGACTCG